CACACTGCTGGTGTGTAGAATTTTTTGACATAGGGTGCTGGCAGATTACGGGCCTCCTATAGCTGCTGCCAGGCCCCTAATCTGCCATAGGCCCCTATATACCGCCTCCTCATGCTGCTGCCAGGTCCAGAGTCTCTCATGGGTCCCTGTACGGCCTCCCATTGCTGCTGTCTCCATCGCCACACTCTGCCATGTGCCACTTTCAGGTCTCCTCACACTGCTGGTGTGTAGAATTTTTTGACATAGGGTGCTGGCAGATTACGGGCCTCCTATAGCTGCTGCCAGGCCCCTAATCTGCCATAGGCCCCTATATACCGCCTCCTCATGCTGCTGCCAGGTCCAGAGTCTCTCATGGGTCCCTGTACGGCCTCCCATTGCTGCTGTCTCCATCGCCACACTCTGCCATGTGCCACTTTCAGGTCTCCTCACACACTGCTGGTGTGTAGAATTTTTTGACATAGGGTGCTGGCAGATTACGGGCCTCCTATAGCTGCTGCCAGGCCCCTAATCTGCCATGGGCCCCTATATACCGCCTCCTCATGCTGCTGCCAAGTCCAGGGTCTCTCATGGGTCCCTGTACGGCCTCCCATTGCTGCTGTCTCCATCGCCACACTCTGCCATGTGCCACTTTCAGGTCTCCTCACACACTGCTGGTGTGTAGAATTTTTTGACATAGGGTGCTGGCAGATTACGGGCCTCCCATAGCTGCTGCCAGGCCCCTAATCTGCCATAGGCCCCTATATACCGCCTCCTCATGCTGCTGCCAGGTCCAGAGTCTCTCATGGGTCCCTGTACGGCCTCCCATTGCTGCTGTCTCCATCGCCACACTCTGCCATGTGCCACTTTCAGGTCTCCTCACACTGCTGGTGTGTAGAATTTTTTGACATAGGGTGCTGGCAGATTACGGGCCTCCTATAGCTGCTGCCAGGCCCCTAATCTGCCATAGGCCCCTATATACCGCCTCCTCATGCTGCTGCCAGGTTCAGAGTCTCTCATGGGTCCCTGTACGGCCTCCCATTGCTGCTGTCTCCATCGCCACACTCTGCCATGTGCCACTTTCAGGTCTCCTCACACACTGCTGGTGTGTAGAATTTTTTGACATAGGGTGCTGGCAGATTACGGGCCTCCCATTGCTGCTGCCAGGCCCCTAATCTGCCATGTGCCCCTATATACCGCCTCCTCATGCTGCTGCCAAGTCCAGGGTCTCTCATGGTGTCAGGGCTCCCAGGTATGACCAGAGGTGTGTGACTGAAGCAGGGAAACGCAGACCTCAGATATGTTATAAACAATATAATTTATTAACACTAACAGTACAAACATAAACGCAGTGCAATACTAAAACATAATACAGTGCAAACAAACCAAACCAAAACCACCCACAGATAACAGTATATACAAGCAAGCGTCGTCAGGCAGGCCGGGTCAATATCAATTGGGCAGGTAGGTACAGGGGGAGCAAGCGGAGAATAGTCGGGGTCACAGGCCAGGTTCAGCAGGTAGCAAGCAGCATAGTACAGAGGGTCAGACAGAGGGATGGTCCGGGTCACAAGCCAGGGATCAGAACAGGTAGCAAGCAGCGTAGTACAGAGGGTCAGACAGAGGAATGGTCAGGGTCACAAGCCAGGATCAGAGCAGGAGAAGTCAGCAAAGGAACAGAAACAGGATGCAGGACAGATACAGGGCCCAGGACAAACACAACACCAAGGCAGAGTCTGCAAGTCTGGCCATCCCTTAAATACCCCAGCATCATCAGTTCCAGGTGTTAGCTGGCTGAAAGGTTGAGTCTCTGATTGCTGGGAGCACCCGCTGGCCAGCCCTGGTACTGCAGATCAAAAGGCAGGTGAGTCCCCACCATTGCTGGCCAGTCCATTCCTAACAGTACCCCCCCCTCAAGGAGCGGCCTCAGGACGCTCCAAACAGTCCTAGCTGGGCAAAATGTTCCACCGCCCGGGTCTGGCAACTGGTGGGATATCAAAGACTGGCACCCGGCAGGACTCCGGGCAGCGGCACACCGGGCTGGACTCCGGGCAGAGGCACATCGAGCAGAGGCACACCGGGACAGAGGCACATCGGGCAGAGGCACATCGGGCAGGACTCCGGGCAGAGGCACCCATCGAGCAGAGGCACACCGGGCAGAGGCACATCGGGCAGGACTCCGGGCAGAGGCACATCGAGCAGAGGCACACCGGGCAGAGGCACATCGGGCAGGACTCCGGGCAGAGGCACACCGGGCAGAGGCACATCGGGCAGGACTCCAGGCAGAGGCACATCGGGCAGGACTCCGGGCAGAGGCACATCGGGCAGGATTCCGGGCAGAGGCACATCGGATTACCAGGCGAAGCAGCAGGCAGCGGGCCACCAGGCGGAGCGGCAGGCACCGGGCCCCCGGGCGGGGCGGCAGGCACCGGGCCCCCGGGCGGGGCGGCAGGCACCGGGCCCCCGGGCGGGGCGGCAGGCACCGGGCCCCCGGGCGGGGCAGCAGGCACCGGGCCCCCGGGCGGGGCAGCAGGCACCGGGCCCCCGGGCGGAGCAGCAGGCACCGGGCCCCCCCGGGCGGAGCAGCAGGCACCGGCCCCCGGGCGGAGCAGCAGGCACCGGGCCCCCGGGCGGAGCAGCAGGCACCGGGCCCCCAGTCGGGGCGACAGGCATCGGGCCCCCAGGCGGGGAGTAGAGGCATCAGGCCGAGTAGAGGCTTCAGGCCGAGTAGAGGCTTCAGGCCGAGTAGAGGCTTCAGGCCGAGTAGAGGCTTCAGGCCGAGTAGAGGCATCAGGCCGAGTACAGGCATCAGGCCGAGGAGAGGCTTCAGGCCGAGGAGAGGCTTCAGGCCGCGTAGAGGCTTCAGGCCGAGTAGAGGCTTCAGGCCGAGTAGAGGCTTCAGGCTGAACCACGGAAGGCAGGTTCACCGGTTTGGATACTGGCAGGATGGTATTGGTTGGAAAGAATTTTCGCTTTTTTCTGGTTTTAACTACTGGAGCACTGCAAGTAAACGCAGGTCTGCAAACGAATGGAGCAGCTGGAGACAGAGAAGAACTGGAGGATGGAACAGGAGAGGGAGCAGTTGCTACAGAGGGCTTTTTTACAGGGTTAAAGGCAGGGTAGGTGCAGCGAGTGGGAACAGGGTACTGACATGCGGTAGATAGCCAAGTATACTGGGCTGTAACTGGAGGAGCTGGTGGGAATACAGGAGTAGAGTTAGAAGCAGGACTGGGTCTTTGTAAGCTGACTGAGGCTGGGTGCAACAAACCTGTCCATGTCTGCAGTAGGGGTTGAACAAAGCTGAGTTTACACAAAGTCTGTCTGGTCAATGACTGCACTGCGTTTATACAATCTCTCAGTGTCTGTGGTGAACATGTGGAATAACGCTCCAGAAAGTAACCCACATCATCCTCTAATAACCACACCAGGGACTCTACCTGGTCTGCACTAAAAGGTGGCAAAAATTCATCCCTGCATTCGGGGAAACCAGATGAAACCAACTCAACACAAACCTGAATCAATGGCTGCACCATAGAGAAAACTGTGCCCTGATCTACTAGAACATGAGCGAGCCGTATACATTCTAGCAGTTCATCCCGGGTATACTCCTTCAGAGTCTGATAAGCATACTCCCTGTCATCAAGCACTAGCAGAGATAAATACTCAACCTCATCTAGATCCATCCTTCCCATCAACAAGCCAAGATGGCTTCCCTGTGCAGCCACTTCTGGTCAGGATTGGCCTTGGTGTAATGTCAGGGCTCCCAGGTATGACCAGAGGTGTGTGACTGAAGCAGGGAAACGCAGACCTCAGATATGTTATAAACAATATAATTTATTAACACTAACAGTACAAACATAACGCAGTGCAATACTAAAACATAATACAGTGCAAACAAACCAAACCAAACCACCCACAGATAACAGTATATACAAGCAAGCGTCGTCAGGCAGGCCGGGTCAATATCAATTGGGCAGGTAGGTACAGGGGGAGCAAGCGGAGAATAGTCGGGGTCACAGGCCAGGTTCAGCAGGTAGCAAGCAGCATAGTACAGAGGGTCAGACAGAGGGATGGTCCGGGTCACAAGCCAGGGATCAGAACAGGTAGCAAGCAGCGTAGTACAGAGGGTCAGACAGAGGAATGGTCAGGGTCACAAGCCAGGATCAGAGCAGGAGAAGTCAGCAAAGGAACAGAAACAGGATGCAGGACAGATACAGGGCCCAGGACAAACACAACACCAAGGCCGAGTCTGCAAGTCTGGCCATCCCTTAAATACCCCAGCATCATCAGTTCCAGGTGTTAGCTGGCTGAAAGGTTGAGTCTCTGATTGCTGGGAGCACCCGCTGGCCAGCCCTGTACTGCAGATCAAAAGGCAGGTGAGTCCCACCATTGCTGGCCAGTCCATTCCTAACACATGGGTCCCTGTACGGCCTCCCATTGCTGCTGTCTCCATCGCCACACTCTGCCATGTGCCACTTTCAGGTCTCCTCACACACTGCTGGTGTGTAGAATTTTTTGACATAGGGTGCTGGCAGATTACGGGCCTCCTATAGCTGCTGCCAGGCCCCTAATCTGCCATAGGCCCCTATATACCGCCTCCTCATGCTGCTGCCAGGTCCAGAGTCTCTCATGGGTCCCTGTACGGCCTCCCATTGCTGCTGTCTCCATCGCCACACTCTGCCATGTGCCACTTTCAGGTCTCCTCACACACTGCTGGTGTGTAGAATTTTTTGACATAGGGTGCTGGCAGATTACGGGCCTCCCATTGCTGCTGCCAGGCCCCTAATCTGCCATGGGCCCCTATACCGCCTCCTCATGCTGCTGCCAAGTCCAGGTCTCTCATGGGTCCCTGTACGGCCCCATTGCTGCTGTCTCCATCGCCACACTCTGCCATGTGCCACTTTCAGGTCTCTCACACACTGCTGGTGTGTAGAATTTTTTGACATAGGGTGCTGGCAGATTACGGGCCTCCCATAGCTGCTGCCAGGCCCCTAATCTGCCATAGGCCCCTATATACCGCCTCCTCATGCTGCTGCCAGGTCCAGAGTCTCTCATGGGTCCCTGTACGGCCTCCCATTGCTGCTGTCTCCATCGCCACACTCTGCCATGTGCCACTTTCAGGTCTCCTCACACTGCTGGTGTGTAGAATTTTTTGACATAGGGTGCTGGCAGAGATTATGGGCCTCCTATAGCTGCTGCCAGGCCCCTAATCTGCCATAGGCCCCTATATACCGCCTCCTCATGCTGCTGCCAGGTCCAGAGTCTCTCATGGGTCCCTGTACGGCCTCCCATTGCTGCTGTCTCCATCGCCACACTCTGCCATGTGCCACTTTCAGGTCTCCTCACACTGCTGGTGTGTAGAATTTTTTGACATAGGGTGCTGGCAGATTACGGGCCTCCTATAGCTGCTGCCAGGCCCCTAATCTGCCATAGGCCCCTATATACCGCCTCCTCATGCTGCTGCCAGGTCCAGAGTCTCTCATGGGTCCCTGTACGGCCTCCCATTGCTGCTGTCTCCATCGCCACACTCTGCCATGTGCCACTTTCAGGTCTCCTCACACACTGCTGGTGTGTAGAATTTTTTGACATAGGGTGCTGGCAGATTACGGGCCTCCTATAGCTGCTGCCAGGCCCCTAATCTGCCATAGGCCCCTATATACCGCCTCCTCATGCTGCTGCCAGGTCCAGAGTCTCTCATGGGTCCCTGTACGGCCTCCCATTGCTGCTGTCTCCATCGCCACACTCTGCCATGTGCCACTTTCAGGTCTCCTCACACACTGCTGGTGTGTAGAATTTTTTGACATAGGGTGCTGGCAGATTACGGGCCTCCCATAGCTGCTGCCAGGCCCCTAATCTGCCATGGGCCCCCTATACCCCGCCTCCTCATGCTGCTGCCAAGTCCAGAGTCTCTCATGGGTCCCTGTACGGCCTCCCATTGCTGCTGTCTCCATCGCCCACACTCTGCCATGTGCCACTTTCAGGTCTCCTCACACACTGCTGGTGTGTAGAATTTTTTGACATAGGGTGCTGGCAGATTACGGGCCTCCCATAGCTGCTGCCAGGCCCCTAATCTGCCATAGGCCCCTATATACCGCCTCCTCATGCTGCTGCCAGGTCCAGAGTCTCTCATGGGTCCCTGTACGGCCTCCCATTGCTGCTGTCTCCATCGCCACACTCTGCCATGTGCCACTTTCAGGTCTCCTCACACACTGCTGGTGTGTAGAATTTTTTGACATAGGGTGCTGGCAGATTACGGGCCTCCCATAGCTGCTGCCAGGCCCCTAATCTGCCATGGCCCCTATATACCGCCTCCTCATGCTGCTGCCAGGTCCAGAGTCTCTCATGGGTCCCTGTTCGGCCTCCCATTGCTGCTGTCTCATGCCACACTCTGCCATGTGCCACTTTCAGGTCTCCTCACACTGCTGGTGTGTAGAATTTTTTGACATAGGGTGCTGGCAGATTACGGGCCTCCCATAGCTGCTGCTGCCAGGCCCCTAATCTGCCATAGGCCCCTATATACCGCCTCCTCTCCTCATGCTGCTGCTGCCAAGTCCAGAGTCTCTCATGGGTCCCTGTACGGCCTCCCATTGCTGCTGTCTCCATCGCCACACTCTGCCATGTGCCACTTTCAGGTCTCCTCACACTGCTGGTGTGTTGAATTTTTTGACATAGGGTGCTGGCAGATTACGGGCCTCCCATTGCTGCTGCCAGGCACGTAATCTGCCATGGGCCCCCGTACCGACTCCTCATGCTGTGACGTTGCAACAAGGTGGAATTCAACCCTACATATGTTAGACCGCCTTTTACGAACAGCGAAAGGCCATCACCAGATTTCCTGATGTTAAAAGCGGATAAAGGTACTCCCTGTGTAACTTAGATGTCAGCCATTGGCAGCTCATGCGTGACACCTGCGCTTGCTCAGGCCCTTTGAGGAGGCCACGCTATTCGTGAGTCGGCAGGACTATGGGATGAACGACGTCATTCCTCTGTTGCACGTCCTGGAACAAATGCTGTTAACAATGGCTGGTCAGGGTGCGGTAGACGTGGCGCACAGATCTCAACGCCACATGACCCCTGTGGGGGCAGGACAGGAAGAAGAGGAGGAGGTAGAGGAGGACATTGGTGCTCAGGAATTATTGAGTGAAATGGGTGGTTTTTCCACTCAGCGGACAGGAGTGGAGGAGCAGGAGCATCTGGTAGAGGAGGAGGAGGAGGAGGAGACAGAGGACCCAGACGCACCGTGGCAGTATGCTGTGGAGATGGAGGCAGGGAGTCCCTCGCATTCCTTGGCACAAATGGCCCATAGCATGCTCGGTTGCTTGCGTAGCGACAGCCGAATAATAACCATCAGACAGAGGGATGACTTTTGGCTGTCCACCTTGTTGGACCCTCGCTACCGTTCAAAAAATGGTGGCCTTTTTCACACCTGCTGAGAGGGAGGCCAAAATAACGTACTATAAAAACCACCTATGTAGTCAGCTGGTCTCTGCCTGTCTGCGCCAACGTCCATCCTCAGACACTGTGGGCCCTGTGCGCGCTCGCGTTCCGCTGCCATGGCAGCAGGGGAGGGGTGGGGTGGTAGGAGCAGTGGCAGCTCCACCAGCAGCGGCTGCCTCAGTCTGCAGTCGATGATGAGTAGCTTTCTTCACCAGCGCAGTGAGGAAACTACTAACCAGCCCAGCAGCAGCAGCAGCAGCAGCAGCAGCATCAGGTGGACCTGGAGCAGGACCTCAAACAACAGGCTTAGGCCTACTTGGACAGCACCCTGCCAACCGAGGTAGACAATCCCCTTGACTACTGGGCAACGAAACTTGACCTTTGGCCCCAACTAGCTGAATTTGCCCTTGAAAGGCTGTCATGCCCGGCCAGTAGCGTGGCATCGGAGCGCGTGTTTAGTGCGGCAGGAGGTATTGCAACTCCGCGGAGGAGGACACGACTGTCCACCCAAAGTGTGGAGAGACTGACGTTTGTGAAAATGAATCAGGCGTGGATTAGTCTGGATTTCAAACCACCAGTTCCTGACACAACTGACTAAATCCGCCATGAATCATGCCCCAAACATGTGCCACTTTCAGGTCTCCTCACACTGCTGGTGTGTTCCATTTTTTGTCATAGGGTGCTGGCAGATTACGGGCCTCCCATAGCTGCTGCCAGGCCCCTAATCTGCCATGGGCCCCTATACCGCCTCCTCATGCTGCTGCCAAGTCCAGAGTCTCTCATGGGTCCCTGTACGGCCTCCCATTGCTGCTGTCTCCATCGCCACACTCTGCCATGTGCCACTTTCAGGTCTCCTCACACTGCTGGTGTATTCCACTGGCAGATTACGGGCCTCCCATAGCTGCTGCCAGGCCCCTAATCTGCCATGGGCCCCCTATACCGCCTCCTCATGCTGCTGCCAGGTCCAGAGTCTCTCATGGGTCCCTGTACGGCCTCCCATTGCTGCTGTCTCCATCGCCACACTCTGCCATGTGCCACTTTCAGGTCTCCTCACACTGCTGGTGGGTTCCATTTTTTGTCATAGGGTGCTGGCAGATTACGGGCCTCCCCATAGCTGCTGCCAGGCCCCTAATCTGCCATGGGCCCCCCGTACCGACTCCTCATGCTGCTGCCAGGCCCGTAATCTGTCATGGGCCCCTGTTGTCGCTTGTTGGCATATATCCGCTCGTTCAGATGCTCCTTCTCCTGCTACTCCTCTTCACGGATTCGGATTCCGTCAGCAGTCTTTCTTGGAATCCGTTTCCAAGAGACAACAGTTTGCGAGCACGCACCAGACGGTGCAGAAGCTGAACGTCCTCCTGTCCAAGTTGCTGCTGCCAGGCTCGTAATCTGTCATGCGCCCCTGTACCGCCTCCTCATGCTGCTGCCAGGTCCAGAGTGTGTCATGGGCCCCCGTACCGACTCCTCATGCTGCTGCCAGGCCCGTAATCTGTCATGGGCCCCTGTACCGCCTCCCCATGCTGCTGCCAGGTCCAGAGTGTGTCATGGTCCCCTGTACGGCCTCCCATTGCTGCTGCCAGGCCCGTAATCTGCCATGGGCCCCCCGTACCGACTCCTCATGCTGCTGCCAGGCCCGTAATCTGCCATGGGCCCCTGTACCACCTCCTCATGCTGCTGCCAGGTCCAGAGTGTGTCATGGGTCCCTGTACGGCCTCCCATTGCTGCTGTCTCTATCGCCACACTCTGCCATGTGCCACTTTCAGGTCTCCTCACACTGCTGGTGGTTTCCATTTTTGTCATAGGGTGCTGTATGGCCTCCCATTGCTGCTGCCTCCACCGCCACACTGTGGCTCCACACTCTGGTTTTGACCCCGTGACTGCCCAAATGAGTGAAGTGTGCGGTGATTCTAAGATCGACGGCACTCATCTGCATGTCATACTGACTGACAGTATTATTTCTCTTCCCCAGCAGACTCCAAGGGCATTTAAATTAAAGGTACAGTGTTCAGCACTAATATTAAGTCTCTCTGAAGCCTAGAAACACCCTTTTTTAAGTTAAATTCACAGCGAATATATTCGACTCGAATCGAAATTTTTCCACGAATTCGCCGAATCAGTCGAATCGAATTTTTGAATACTTCGCTCATCTCTAATTAGAATTATTATCAATTCCATTAGAATTTGTTTCGTATCCGTTGGAATTATTTTTGAATCCGTTGGAATTGTTTTCAAATCCATTAAAATCATTTTCAAATCTGTTCAAAATGTTGAATTCGGTTGAATTTGAATAAACAAAACTAATTCTAAAAATGTAATGAATTAAATAAATTTAACTAAATGAAAGAAACAAAATTAGTCAAATAACAAATCGAGACTAAACACATAAACAACAAGTTTTTTCATTTTGTCAGACTGCCTCCGCAATATCACAGTCCGTTATAAGTCGCTGATTGCCGCCATTAGTAGTATAAAAAAAATAAATAAAAGTTCCAGTATACAGGTGAAACTCAAAAAATTAGAATATCGTGCATAAATTTGTTTATTTCAGTAATGTAACTTAAAAGGTGAAACTAAAATATGAGATAGACTTATTACATGCAAAG